TAATGTTATTTTTTCTTATCCTTTTTAAGAACCCTTCCCCCCAAATCCTCAAGTAACCTTGATTGAGCCCTGTGTACATGTCCACAAAGTTTTCCCAAGTGTTCAATTCAGTTATAGTTTTTTTTTTTCCTTTAACAGGGTGAAACCTACAATGGATGAAGTTTAAAAAAAACAACAAATCAAACAAACCAAAATCTTGACCACAGAAGATAGTAAGGTTATTTCCTGGCGTTAGCCTTAGCTTGAGGTGGAAAAAAAGAAAAAATGTATTCCCTCAGAATTCCTTACAAGCTCAGACCCTCTCAGGTTGGAGACCTGATTTCATTCTATGTGTGGCTCAAAAATTTCCAAGCTAAAAACCAGGCAAACACAAAAATAAAGTTGGCAAAGATTCAGTGATACTAGATGAAATAGGTGTTTGGGCATTACTAAATAATGTCACATATGAATAAAGATAGTTTAATAAAACTTGTAGACACCTAATAAATTAACTTGAAAAAGTATAAAATAAAAACTGAAAAACCACATGAAAAAGACTAATTTTACTATCAAAATGGGAGATTGTTAGATTACAATGCCCTCCCCGACAAAAAAACACCAGTAAGTATGTAGAGTATCTGAATAACTTAATTAATTTGCTCTAGTGACTTTGTATATAAACCTATATCCAATAACTATCATGTTAGGAGTGCCTGGCTGGCTCAGTCGGTGTGACTCCTGATCTTGGGGTTTTGAGTTCGAGCCCCATGTTGGGTGTAGAGATTACTTAAAAATAAAATCTTTAAAAAGAAAAACTACTGTGCTATTCTTTTAAATCACAGATATACATTTATAACTGAGAATGTGATAGGCCATAAGAAGTCTCACCTAATGTAAAAGAATGTTACATAAATCACAATCTCTGATTATAATGGAAATACATTAGAAAATAGTAAGTTTTTAAAACCATTCACGTGGAAATTTAAAAATACATTTCTAAATAAATTTGGGTAAAAAGAAATTGTGGGGACTAAAAAAAGAACAGTACTGAATAATAGATATTCAACTTAAAATCTTGGGACATAAAGAGTGACTCAGAAGGAAATGTATGGTCTTAAAAAATTAATAAACTCTACAACTATCTAAAGATTACGGCAGGGTGGGGGTGGGGTGAGTAGAAGAAGAAAACCAAACAAAGTAAGGCAATATAAAGATGAGAACAAAAGGATGCCTGGGTGACTCAGTTGGTTAAATGTCCGCCTTCGGCTCAAGTCACGATCCCAGGGTTCTGGGATCAAGTCCTGCATCAGGCTCCTTGCTCTGCAGGGAGTCTGCTTCTCTCTCCTCTTCTCCCTCTGTGTGTGTGCTCTCTCTCTCTAGTTCTCACTGTTTCTCAAATAAATAAATAAAATATTAAAAAAAGAAAAAAAAGAACTATGGATAGAGCATGGATAATTCAAGCTAATAAACAACTTTGGGGCACCTGGGTGGCTCAGTCGGTTAAGCCTCTTGCCTTCAGCTTAGATCATGATTTCCGGGTCCTAGGACCGCGCCCCCTGTCAGGCTCTCTGCTCAGCGAGGAGCCTGCTTCTCCCTGTCCCTCTGCCTCTGCCTGCCACTCCCCCTGCTTGTGCTCTCTGTCAAATAAATAAATGAAATCTAAAAAAAAAAAAAAGATAAACTTTATACCAACAAATGTAAAAAATTAAGTGATATCAATATTCCTAGAAAAGAATCAATAACCATAACTGACATGACTCCAGGTGAAATAGAAAAATCTGAATTGTTCCATAATTATTAAAGAACCAATAAGCATTTTAGATTTTTCCCACATAGAAAACCCAGGCCCAAAATGGCTTCACAGGCTAGTATGACCAAAGACTTAAGGAATGAATAATTACCACTTTACACAAATGCTCAGAGAACAAAAAAAGAAGAAATACACCTACTATTCATTTTAGCAGTCTCATATATTCAAAAGCAGATAGAATAGCACTTAAATGGGAAATTCCAGGCCAATTTCATTCATAGCCACAGATGCAAAAATTCTAAAGGAAATAATGCCAGCAATGGGGGGGGGGGATATGATCAAATTAAGTTTAATCCAAGAATTCAAGATTGGTCTGAGATTATGAAATCTATTACTATAATTTACCACATTAAGGGATTCAAGGAGAAAAAAATGTATACATACACAATTATTTCAGTGAATGGATAATATATCTGATAAAATTCAATGCCAATGCCATTCATGATAAAAAATTCTTAGCAAAGGGGCACCTGGGTGGCTCAGTCGTTACGTGTCTGCTTTCTGCTCAGGTCAGGATCCCAGGGTCCTGGGATCAAGCCCTGCATCAGGCTCCCTGCTCCACGGGAAGCCTGCTTCTCCCTCTCCCACTCCCCCTGCTTGTGTTCCCTCTCTCGCTCTGTTTCTCTCTGTCAAATAAATAAAATCTTAAAAAAAAAAATTCTTAGCAAAATAAGAATGAAAGGGGTAATTCCTTAACTTGAAGGATTATCTACAAACATTTACAGCACACATCATATTCAATGGTGAAGTATTAAAAGCAATTTCTTAAGGGCGCCTGGGTGGCTCAGTCGTTAAGCGTCTGCCTTCAGCTCAGGTCATGATCCCAGGTTCCTGGAATCGAGTCCCACATCGGGCTCCCTCCTCGGCAGGAAGCCTGCTTCTCCCTCTCCCACTCCCCCTGCTTGTGTTCCCTCTCTCGCTGTGTCTCTCTCTGTCAAATAAATAAATAAAATCTTTAAAAAAAAAAAAAAAGGCAATTTCTTAAATATCAGGAGGAAAACCAACAAAAATGTTAGCTATTATTACTTCTTTATTAAACAGTGGTTTTAGTAAATATAAAAAGATTGGAAAAAAGGGGAGAAGAAAAATGCCTTTATCCAGAGTGATTACTATTACATGGACAGAAAATCCAGAAATAAAATTCTACATAGTATTAGAATTTGAGATCCATATTCTTATTAAAATTATATACATTTATAGAGGACATAATGACCCTAGAAGCCTCTACATATAGTATTTAAAATATTTAGTAAGTTTATCTTTAGGTGGTGGGATTATGAGTGATTTTATTTGTTTCAGTCTTTCAGTGTTTCCAGTGTTCTGCATTGGACTATTTTATTTTATAAAAGAATAATGGGGGGCACCTGGGTGGCTCAGATGGTTAAGCATCTACCTTTGGCTCAGGTCATGATCCCAGGGTCCTGGGATCCAGCCCTACATTGGGCTTCCTGCTCTGTGGGAAGTCTCCTTCCCCCCCTCCTTCCTGCTCATGCTCTAATTTCTGTCTCTCTCAAATATATAATTTTTAAAAAGATAAAAAAAAAAAAGAATAATGGAATAATGTTACAAGATGTCAAATAAATACATAAAAAAATCAATTTTATGTCTACATACTAGCAACAAACAGAAAATGCAACTTAAAATACTTAAAAGCAGGGGCGCCTGGGTGGCTCAGTTGGTTGAGCGACTGCCTTCGGCTCAGGTCATGATCCTGGAGTCCCGGGATCGAGTCCCGCATTGGGCTCCCTGCTTGGCAGGGAGTCTGCTTCTCCCTCTGACCCTCCTCCCTCTCATGCTCTCTGTCTCTCATTCTCTCTCTCTCAAATAAATAAATAAAATCTTTAAAAAAATAATAATAATAAATAATAAAATAAAATAAAATAAAATACTTAAAAGCAATACAAAATGTAAGAGTATCTAGGAATAAAAAAAAAAAGAGTATCTAGGAATAAACCAAAGATTTACAATACCTTTCTCAAGAAAATCATAAAATTGAAAAAAAAAAAAAAGAATTTAATATATAGACAGATATACCATGTAAATGATTAAAAAGGTTGGATATCATAAAGATATAATTTCTTTACAAATTAATCTACAGATATGATACAATTCCCATCAAAATCATCAAAGAGATTTTTTTGTGGAATTTGACAAGCTAGTCTTAAAATTCATAGGGAAAAGAAAAAGGATACAAATAGGTAAGACACCTCTAAAGAAGAAGAAATATGTAAAGGAAATTGCTCTACTAGAAAACAACATTTATTATCATTAGGCTTTAAGAACTGAGCTAGTATAGCATTTGTGCTGGGATAGACATGGGGAACGAAGAGAACGTTCCGAAGCGGACCCCTCCTGATAGCCTGAGCTAGTATGAGTTGCACTACAAGTCAGGAGGTAAAGGCAGACCGATTTTAAACAGTAGGATAGTTCTCTTTATTTTTTTTAAAGATTTTTTTATTTATTCATTTGAGACACAGAGATACAGAGAGAGAGAGAGAGAGGGAGAGGGAGAGAGCATGAGCAGGGAGAGAGGCAGAGGGAGAGGGAGAAGCAGGCTCCCCACTGAGCAGGAAGCCCGATGCGGGGCTCGATCCCAGGACGCTGGGATCGTGACCTGAGCCGAAGGCAGACACTTAACCATCTGAGCCACCCAGGCGCCCCTAGGATAGTTCTCTTTATGAGGAAAAAATAAAAATTCATCCCTACCTAACAGCATATCCTAAAATAAATTTTAGATCGACTTAACTGCTAGAATAGAGGTAGAAGAACAGAAATGGATGACTAATTTTGATTGATGGTAAGGAATGTTTTCTCAGTAGAGATAACTTTGAGCTCCTCCTTGGAGGATAAAAGGAGGAGCAATGTGGGAAATGGATTTCCAGGCTGAGAGAACAGCAAGATCAACGTCCCATAAGTTCCCAAGAGTAAGAGGCATTTTCTGGGAATGGACAGACAACTAGCCCAACTGAACAGGAAAGACAGACAATGACGACGAGGGATGATTGGTGCTTTATCACATTTTTGCACCTATGTTTCACTGTGTTTCTGGCCTTCATCCTGGCCAGAACCAGTTATATTCATAGGAAGGAAACATTATAACACAGTCCTTCTAGCCTGATTACTAGTCAAAACACCATTCTCATTAACTGCAGCTCAGATAGGCAAAAAGACACTAAAAACATTTTTTAAAGGCTTGAGAGGTTCAAGTTACCTTTTCTTTTTTTTCTTCAGTGTTTTGGTCCTGGTTATTGGTGATTTTGTTAGCCTTGTTAGGCACACTAGGAATGACCTATGACCACAAAAAAAAGGGGGGGGGAGAAGGAATAAAACATTTAAATGTCACAATCATTACATTTCTTAATTTTTAAAGTTAAAATCTTACTTAAGTCTCTAACTTCATCTAAAAAGTAAAGACATGAGAAGTATAATTCAAAGCAAACAATACAGTCTGAAAAATATTACAAGCTAGATGACTCAAAATATTGTGTGTGTGTAACATCAAAGAACAATAAACTCACAATATGTGTAGATCCAGAAAGTGAAAATGATAAAAAAAATCACAATACTGATTATCATCCCAACATCTCATTTTGCAAAATAGTTTTAGGGGTGACCTACATAAACCTCTCCCTAGAACACAGGATGCATTTGATAGTTTTTACCTTATTCATCATTGTACCCCAATTCAAGTATATTATCTAGTACAGCGTGCACACTCAATAAATACTTCACTATTACTGTTAGCATGAAGATAAATTACAAATCTATTTACATCCCTGGATAAAAGCTCAATGAGAGCTGGAATTTAGTGATTTATCACTATACATAGTGCTCAGAAAGAACCTATTACATAGCTGCACTCAATAAATGTTTATACATGAACAAAATAGTTCCATTTCATAGAAATACTTTTAATTCTCAATGGTGCCAACAGCATAGTTTACTTTTTGACTCATTTCTTTTTACAAAACAATCTATGAAACATCTTGGGAAAATATAAAATTTTTAGTGATTTTTTTTTTTTAAAGATTTTATTTATTTATTTGAGAGAGAGAATGAGAGACAGAGAGCACGAGAGGGAAGAGGGTCAGAGGGAGAAGCAGACCCCCTGCTGAGCGGGGAGCCCAATGTGGGACTCGATCCTGGGACTCCAGGATCATGACCTGAGCCGAAGGCAGTCGCTTAACCAACTGAGCCACCCAGGCGCCCCTAGTGATCTTTTTTAAGCCTCCTCAAATAGCTAACACAAATAATCTTGGCATAGAATCTGATGACAGACATGAAGGTTAAGAAAAAAATCTCCTTTCCCAGAAATGTAAAGAAACTGCCTGCCTAGGGGTAATTTAAAAAACAAAACAAAACAGGGATGCCTGGGTGGCTCAGTCGGTTAAGCGTCTGCTTTTGGCTCAGGTCATGATCCCAGGATCCTGGGATCGAGTCCCGCATCGGGCTCCTTGCTCAGCGAGGAGTCTGCTTCTCCCTCTGCCTGCCACTCCTGCTGCTTGTGCTTTCTCTCTCTCTCTCTAATAAATAAATAAAATCTTTGAAACAAAACAAAACAGCAAAAAACACCTCTCTCTAAATGCAATTTAAGATTAAATTTTCTTCACCTTTAATATAGAGTCTAAAGAAATAAACTGATTTTGGAATAAATGAGAAAGTCTCAGGAATGTTTCATTTCAATAAAAATAAAAAACAACAAAGGCACCTGGATGGCTCAGTTGGTAGAGCACATGACTCTTCATCTCAGGGTCATGAGTTCAAGCCCCACATTGGGCATGGAGCCTCCTTATAGATAGATAGATAGATAGATAGATAGATAGATAGATAGATAGATAGATAGAAAGAAAGAAAATAGTAATGACACTGATCAACATATATTTAATGCTTTGTACGTGAACACTGTTAGTGCTTAGTATTTATTCCTCTATTTAATACAAACAACAATCCAAGTCCATGTCCGAGTTCATTAAACTTTGAGACTTTCTGCAAAACCCCAAAAGAAGTCATTTTATAACACTGGGACCATCAAAGGCCCAAGTTCAAAACCTGGTGGTATTTCTTATCCTGATGAATCTTAAAACAAAATACTTCGCCTTCCTGACAAGTCAGAATACCTGTCCACACTGGACCTACTTTCTCAAACCATGAAAAAAACCAGCTGAAGCTGAACAGAAGCTCTGGGATGGGAAACAATGTCAGCTGCCACCCACAAGGTTTACACTGTTTTTTTGAATAGCACAGAAAGAAATCTCTGTAAATGTATCATTAGCCAAATTTGGAAGACAAAAGGCTCACCAAGAAGACTGCATTTTTTTTTTTTTTTTTTTTAAGATTTTGTTTATTTGACAGAGAGAGATACAGCGAGAGAGGGAACACAAGCATGGGGAGTGGGAGAGGGAGAAGCAGGCTTCCCACAGAGCAGGGAGCCCGATGCGGGGCTCGATCCCAGGACCCTGGGATCAGGACCCGAGCTGAAGGCAGACGCTTAACGACTGAGCCACCCAGGTGCCCCCGGCATCTTTAATAAAAGTAGAAGACAGCATGTTTCTTGTGAAAGTAAAAACTATTTTTATATGTTTAATATGCAAATGTACACATAAAGTTTAAAAAGGTGCCATTATGAAACCATGATATTAGAGAAGAACAAATGGAATACAGGGGAACAGAAAGCAGCATAGGATAATAAATCTAATGAAATTTAATGATGATCCTAATTTCAAACAGGTTTGTTTTGAAATGTGGAAAAATAATATGTGAAATGTAGTTATGTTATTAAGTGGGGGAAAAAATACGCTGGCATAAAAACTTTGTATAGCAGAGTGCAGTATAAATCATCAGTTCTGCTCTCCAGTAAGCATTTGCCAAATAAATCTAAGTGGATACACACATTTCTTTCCAGCGGAATTCAGGAGAAAAAGCTTAAAAAGGTAATATATTGGTGATACTCCGAAAACATCTTTTAAAAGCGCAAATATAAAAAAGTAAAATATAACTCAAAGAATAAAAAAAAAGTACAAATATAAACACCACTGCTCAATTCATGATGTTGATGACAATCTCCATGTGACCAGGGCACTTTAGACATAGGGGCTTTGATGATCCCAATGTCAGAAAATGACTTCTTTGGGGTTTTGCAGGAAGTCTCAAAGTTTAATGTAAAGTGGTCGAAAATGATTAAGCATTTGGCTGTATTTTCTATTCCTGTGATGACCAATACTACTTGCAACAATAAATAAGCCAAAGAGAGGGCCATTCTGCAAAGATAGGAAACTTGATTCCTTTCAACACTTCATTCAACAGGAATCACTTTGTGTGGGGCGTCTGGGTGGCTCAATCATTAAGCATCTGCCTTCAGCTCAGGTCATGATCCCAGGGTCCTAGGATCGAGCCCTGCATCGGGCTCCCTGCTCTGTGGGAAGCCCACTTCTCCCTCTCCCATTCCCCCTGCTGTGTTCCCTCTCTTGCTGTGTCTCTCTCTGTCAAATAAATAAATAAAATCTTACCCCCCCCCCAAAAAAGGAATCACTTTCTGTTAAAAAATGGAACAAGTCATGGACACAGAAATTTACTCCATCACCTGAATGTGCTCCCTCGACTAGAACCAAAGATAGTTCAGTGCTTGATGAACTAAATGCACAATGTGGCAGTCTCTTGTGCTGCACGGGGAATAAGTGACTTGAGCATGACATGATGCTAAAAAGATTAATTCTTTTTTTGAGCAGTGACAGAAATTGCTCTGTTTGTGTCATCTAAGCGATAATTTCCACCTTAGCTCACCAGCAAAGGATGGATTAAATGCATGCTTGGACTTTTTGGTTGACTTTATAACCTCCTTTTTTTTGCTTTGAATATTTTTTGGCAGGGTAGTCAGAAGTGGCCACCTAAAGGTATCAAGTAATTGGCTCATTCTCGCTCAAAACTGTTTCTTTGGAAGTACCATTTGGCAAGGAATAATTTGGCCAATTTTCCTATGGAACTCAGTTTCCAGAAATAAAAGTGATAGCCTCAACGACCTTCTCAATATTGTAAGAGCTAAAAGGTGGATTCCAAAAACCTGGATTCCAAAAAAAAGAATTAAAAAGTGTATTCCCCCAAATTTCAAATTGTATGAAAATGAGAAGACGTTATTCAGTTCACCATTCTCGGTAAGTCTTGTCGGTGTAAACACAGCACTGAGACTGGGAGGGGTCATACTGCAACAGAGTGCACTCCAGCAGAGCTGCCCCACTGGGGTGACCCTGTGTGCAGGCAGGGTACAAGTATGTCCCCACCCTCAGGGCCGCCAAACATCTGTTCGCCCCGGTTGCCATACATATATTATTTTCTGTATGCCTTGACATAGAAAAGGTCGAAAATCACTGCCTCACTTATTGAAAAGCATTTTTAAAAAATGCAGTTTTTCTACTGTTCAGAAGTGCCTATGTTTTGAACAGCTGTCTTCCACTATAAAAAGGAAAAATAAACATTTCTTCCAGTCACAGGGCTTAGGGGTGATATTTCTGCTGCATATTGCAAAATAAAATACATATCCTGCCACTGACATCTATGTATCGAAGTTCTAATTCCATACCGAAAGGGTAATTTATTACAGATAAAAGTGTTATGATTAAATACTGCTAGTTTTGAATTCAGGATGTCCAACAGAACATACAACAATGCACCATGTCTGCATTTTTACACTCTTTAATAACTACACAGAGCATGGAGGTACCTCTAGAACGTTTTCATATCTGACCCCCTTTATGTTCCAAGTATTTTATAAACAAAGTAACTGACTCAGAAAAGTTAAGTAACTTGTCTCCAAGTCAGCAAAGCTGGTCAACAGGGAATTAAGGAATGGAAAACAGGTCTGACTCCACAGCCTGTGACTTAGACCAAGGCAGACTGGAATGACTCAAAGTTAACCAAAAGACCACAATCAAAGAAAAAAAAAGGGAAAGTGAAGTTAATAACTAAATTTTTATGAAGTAATGCTTTTTCTAGGCAATAGTAGGATCAAAATGAAAATAAGTGGAAAAATACATGGAGGCAAAAGCTTGGTCCATAGATATATAGAGTATTTTTAAATTTTTTGAAAATATCAACTAAAGCTTACTCTTGGAGTGGATGACAAGCTCTGAACAACGAACACCACAGGATTTCCCGCATTCTTAATGGCCTCCACTGCTTCTCTATGTGAGGCATTCTGCAAATCTACTCCAGACACCTAAAACAGAGAAGTAATTTCATTTCAATTAGAAAGGCTATAGCGTTCACATGTGTTATATAGTGATGAGAAGAGCCAGTCTAATGAATTAGACCAAAGCCAAAAAAAGGAAAAAAAAAAAAAAAAAAAAAGATTTGCCCACAAAAAGCTTGTTTAAGAACATGTTTAAGGAAAATAACATTCCACCTTCCAGAAAAGTAAGACAAGTATCTTAATAATAACAGCCCTGGTTAAATATAATTATCCAAAATAGGTAGTTCGGTCAGTGACAGAACCTTAAGAAGTTTCTGAGCTATGATGTCACCTCTACCACTAAACGCAGCACAGAATTCTGAGTGGGGACAGGGGAAGGCGGTCTGGACTCTTCTCTCAAATTGAGAAGTACAATATTTTAAGCAAATTGTCCATTATTTTAATTGAGTAGTTGAACATTTCCCAAATTATGTTTAAAAAAGAACTATGAAAATATCCATAGGTTTTTACTAAAAGTGTTCTCTGTTCAGTAAATTGGGATAAGTATACACAGCTCCTTATACAAATTTCAGACAACCTAACTTGCAAACATGTCCAAAATCTCCAACAGCATTCTGTATCTACCATATTTAACAGAACCAATTTCTCAAACCAATAATGTAACAAAGCCTTAATAAATGTTGGGGTGGCTTATGGTCAGTGGTTAGTGACAATTTGTGAATACCTCTTTGCCATAAGGAGACCAAAGAAACAGGAATGTAGGTGGATAAGGCTGTGGGATCAAGGTTGGCTTTTGTGTTTAAGATGGGAGGTATTACAGTAATCATGGTGTGGCAGAGAGGGAAAATGCATGCGAGAGAGAGAGAGAAGTGACACCTGAGGAAGTGAGTCCTCAGACACCGAAGAGGGAATGACTTCCGTGGCACAAGTTACGGAGGCTGGCTTTAGTTAGAAGCACAAATAGTTCATATGTTGTTACAGATACAGTTAGAAAAAAAGATTTGGCACGCAGTGAGAGCAAGGGGAAGTTCCTTTTTGTACTGCTTCTATTTTCTCCATGAAATAAGAAATAAGTACCATAAACTGAGATTAAAATGGAGGAAGGCAGTTTAGGAGGTGTGAAGGAGTTACCTCTGGAAGCAGGAGAGTGAAACAACTAGGGAAATAATACAGGATTGCAAGGCAGAACTAAAGACTCAGTTGAGAAGGAGCTCATGAATTTAAAATGAGACCAGACAGCCTAGCTGGTTATTTTCTCCAGCCACGCTAGGGACCTGAAATAAGCCAAGAGTTGCATTTAACTAGGATGTGGTTTCCCCAGACAAGTTCAGTAAAAGCAAAGGGGATCCAAGGAGCTGGAAGTGATGAGGATGATCAATCACTGAGTCAGAGCACGGGGAGGAGAAAAGCCAGCCCACCTGAAGCTGAGGGACACAGAGGTAAGGGCCCGAAGGTAGGAGACAGGAGCCCAGTGTGGGAGAGGGGTTTAAAAGCAGGTGAGTGTGGCGCCCAGTGCAAGGGAGAGTGCAGAGAGATGAGTCAGGGAGGCAGCTGAAGGCACACGACCACACAGAGGCTGTGGCAAGAACTTTGGCCTTTTATTCTGACAGATACCCCCTGGAAGGTTTTAATGAAACCTTCTCTTCTGTGAAAACCTCTTTTCTGTGCAAACATCTTTTCCCATATGAACTCAGGAAGGATATGAATAATAGTAAACCAATATAGAAAAAAATTTAACTGAAGCTTAAAAGCTATCACAACAGTTTGGTGAGGCTTCTTATGAATAACCTAATCCCCAAAACATTCAACAGTAAGAGAAGTAGAAGCTATAGAACCATTTCATCTTCGAGTAATAATCAGCTTTTGTTTCCCCAACACACATTTCCACAGGGTTAAATGGGAATCACTGAAGTTAGGAAGTTAGGGAAAAAATGGAATTCTGTTATATTACAGCAGAAATATAATCTTTTCTCAGCTTTAAATGTATAACCCAGAAGTATGTCCATTCACACCGGTAAGACCCATTTCCCAAAATTAAATTAATTGCTAACTTCCCAGGTCAACAAATCCTTCTTTATACAGATCTAGCTCCTTTATGCAATTGTTTCAAGGCAGAGAGGATTATTAAGCTTTCCTTAAAAACAAATGAGTAATGCTTTTCACAGGAAAAAAAAAAGTAAACAAATGACTCCATATGCTTGACAAAATAAATATTAAAGTGTTAACATTTCAAATCTGCTGTGGGTTTAAAGAAATTATTAAATCTGGGATAAAACAGTGGGTTCTTATTAGTATATAAAAGTGATGGATAAGTAAGAGAATACTTTGTATTCAACTCAAAGCAGGAAAGATGAAGGGGGAAACACCTAATTTAAAAAGATAAAACAATGAGCAATACAATTAGAAAACAGGCAAAAGACATGCACAAACATTTCACTAAAGAGGACATGTACAGATGGCATGAAGAGTTCTTTATCATTAGCCATTAGGGAAACTCAGAACAATGAGATATCACTATCTACCTATGAGACTGTCCAAAATGAAAAATAGTGACAACACCAAATGTTGGTGAAAATGTGGAGAAACTGGATCACTCATATACTGCTGGTGGAAATGTAAAATAGTACAGCTACTCTGGAAAATAGTTCCTTTCAAAACTAAAAATGGACTTACCATACAACCAGCAACTGCATTCTTGGGCATTTACTGCAGACAAATGGAGACTTATTTTCACTTAGGAACTTGTATACAAATGTGTATAGACGTTTTATTCATAATAACCAAGAACTGGAAACCATGTGCCTTTCTTTTATATATATATGTATATATATATACACACACACACATACACACACACATATATATATATTAAAGATTTATTTACTTATTTGAGAAAGAAAGAGGGAGAACACAAGCTCACGGGGCAGGGTGGGCGGGGGGGGGGGCGGGCAGGGAAAGAGAGAGTCCCAAGCAGACTGCCAACAAAGGGCGCGGAAGCCAACAAAGGGCGACTGCACTACCCTGAGATCATGACCTGAGCCGAAACCAAGAGTCGCCACCCAGGCACCCCAACCCAGGTGTCTTCCAATGAGTGAACGGTTAAACTGTGGTACCTCCACACCATAGAAGTATTCAGTCACAATAACAGGGAATGAACTATTGATGGACACAACAAATTAAATGAACTTCAGTGAAATTATGCTGAACGAGAAAAGCCAATCTCAAAAAGATGCAGAATACGTAATTCCATTTATGTGACAACTGTGAAATAACATAATTATAGACATGGAGAAACAGATTAGTGGTTGCCAGAGGTTGGGTATGGGGGGATATGGCAGGGGAGATGAACGGCTGTAGAGGGCAACACAGGGGAGTCTTACGGTGATACACTGAGTTTCTTTGATTGTGGGGGTGGTTAGGCAAGGCTACACATGTGATAAAACTGCGTAGAGCTATAAAAATACACCAAGTTATAATCAGTGCCTATGTAACTGGTGTTGTGCCCTTATCAGTATTTTGGTTCTGCTCGTGTATTATCTGTCACACAGTAACCCTGGGGGGGAGGCTGAGGGAGGAGCACCTGGGACTTCCTTGTACATTTCTTCACAATTTCCTTTGTTTCAAAATAGAAAGTTAAGGGGAAGAAAAAGGACCACACAAAACACAGAATACATATTTAAAAACTAAGTTCAAATATATCAGTAATCAAAGTAAAAAATGAATCCGTGTCAGTTATTTACTAGATGAAGATTATCAAGGTAGATTTAAAAAAGCAAAATCCAGTTATATATGTTGCTTACAAAACATACAACTAAAACAAAATAACAAGGGTAAAAATGAAGGAATGAAAAAAACAAGGTGCTATGTATGCAAATACTAAATAAAGGAAACCCCACCTGCCCCTGAAGTCAGAGTAATCCTTTTAAAATATGTACACATTCACAATTCTAGAATGGACAACTTTCCAAGCTCTCTGTGATGTGGCTTCACATTACCTCTCAGACTTTTCTCTTCACACTCTCTTGCTCACTCTACCTACATTAGTGGTGCTGGACTTCTTTCTGTTCCTTCAACATAGTCAGGCAAACTCCTACCTCAGAGCTTAAGCATTTTAGTTCTTTCTGCCTAGAGACTTCTTCTCCTATACATCCACATGGCTCACTCTCTCACTTCCTGTATTTGTCCCAACATCATCTTCCATAACCTATCTATTGGTTGCAATCAGCACCTCCACTGCCCTTCGTTCCTCCTTATCTTTCTGCTATTTACTACAATCTAACACTCTACATATTATGTACGTTATCTATCTTCCCCACTACCATGTAAATAACCTAAGAGTAGGAATTTTGCTCATTTTCTTCACTGCCATAACCCCAGTGTGTTTGAAATCTTCTTTTAATTTCAAAAACACAAATATAACCTAATATTTGTATATTCAGAGCAATTTTACACAGTTCTTGGCTTTAATCCTCACAATGATGCTATGAGTTTTAGATTCTCATTTCCATTTTATTTCAAAATTGAGAATAAGGTGGGTTTAATAATATGTCCAAGAACAGATACAAAATAAACAGCACAATCAAGACTTCAACCTGTGACCTCCAGGGCTCTTTTCATTCTATCAGAACTAAAGCACCACAGCTGAAGTTTAGCATCATAAAGCATGTATCAAGAACACTATTCTGGGATTGAAGCTATTTAATATGATGTCCATCCAATAAACCCAGTGCAAAGAAATGTATGAGATTCAGACCTCAGGACATTCTCAGCGCCTTGATGTGCCCTAAACTCTGCTGCTCTGTAAAGCCTACCGCATGTGAACAATGGAGTCACCCCTTCCTCCAATGGAGGCTGGATAAGCATGGCTATCCCACTGACACATATTTATACAATGTAGAGCTTGTTATAGAGAATATAGTCAATAATATTGTAATAATGTTGTATGGCAACAGATGCTAACCACACTCGTGGCGAGCATTGCATAATGTACAGAATTGTCTATGCCTAATACACCTGCAAGTTAATGTCACATTGTATGACAACTATACTTCAATTTAAAAGCAGAACATTAGAAATTTTTTAAATGATGAAAAAAAATTAGAGTTTGTTGAAGACTATGGGAGAAACACAATGCTAACGAGCTGACTCATTCTGTTAAATTGTGAAATTGTTTTTTTAGTCAGCTGATCCTTTGTCTATGCTATATGATAACCACCCCAACTTTAAAATCTCATAAAATTACGCAAACAACATACAAACTAGGGCATTGAAAGAAAATACACCAATTGTATCCACATATACCCCCAACAAATGAAGGAAGGACTTCCAGTTAAATGATTACTGTCTTAAAGTAGGTTTCAAACAAAAACGGAATTTTAACATCACTTACCTCAAGTATTTTATCTCCTGTTTTAAGAGCATTTGTTTTTCCTGCTGGACTGTCTTCTAAAACTTGTTTGATAAATATACCTTTAAGTTCCTCTCCATTCTTCAGGCGTTTTATAACAGTTTGTCCACCAACAATACTAATACCAAGAGACACATTGGGTTCCCTAAATATCTCAACACTGTAAAAAGAAAATGAATTCACTTATGAGCAAGTTAATATAATTTGTTGGATGGTCACTATAAGTGTTCGATTTGGACCATATCCTTGTGACTCATATTTTATATGAATATATTTTTACAATTTTCGAAACTGTACCTAGTTCCAAAATTATAGGACATTATCAATCATTCATGGCGCACGTGAAAGCTTGAATTTGGAAAAAGATTTCTAAAACAATAAATACACCCTCTTAATATTCAGAGATTTTGGTTGGCCTTAATGTTCCCATCTCCTACCACAATATATTTTCTACAATTAGTTCTTTAATTCTATATCCCTAACATCAGCAAAGAATGGATGAAGGAAATAACAAATGGGTGGGTGGGAGGGGGAATCAAGAAAGTCGCATATTATCATTTTGGCAAAAAGCACAGACTTTCAAAATAAAATAAATTTGCCACTAAAAGGCTTCTTGCCCTAGCTGCCTTTTCCAGTCAGCAGGTTTAACCTGTGCTTCTTTAAGTAGGGGACAGATTTTGCTCTTAAAGCTGGCAGGCTCTCTTTTCTTCCTACCTCCACATCACTTTTTAAAATAAAGTATGGAATAAAACTTGCCCTTCAAATGGTTATGAATTTTACTCAGACTGCAGATGTGGCCAATGATTAACTGAAATTAAAAAGTAGTTCAGAAAACAGCGCCCAAGAGTCTTTAAGACAAAACACAGAAGTGCAAGAAGAAAACAGACCATGTGGGTGGGTACCGTGGGATTAATAATGCATGCAGAATAGAGCAGCTAAAGGAAGACTTTTATATTCTGTTAGCTCAAACAAGGCACAAACTTGGACGAACACAAGAGGAGGAGCATAGAGATAAATGAATACATGCTAGAAGCCTCAACTACTGTTGCTGTTATTTAAAAAAAAAAAAAAAGTAAGAAATTTTACTGCATTCAAGGCAGTGGTGCAATAATAAAGTATACTTAGTCCATTGGTTACTATCATACATGGACATTTGTAAATTGCTTTTTCTGAAAAACTATGATAAAACTTTCTATTTAATGTTGATTATAGTCATTTTGCCTGGCTAAAAATCCCTAGATAAGACAAAACTAAAATTTAGGCCAGCCTACATGGGGATGATGGCAATTTCTCAATCAGTACATGTCCACATGACACTATGAAATTTAAGAGCAACTAACTGATTGTGTTCTCCTGAGAAAGCCAATAATGTCATCAACATACATTCTTGGTGGACCCCAGTGGCTGAAGTTTGGAGTTTCTTCTCCTTCACCTTCTTCTCTTTCAGGTAACTCACTGAGGGGAGAGAAAGGAAAAAACATGGTGATTAACATAATAAAAAAAAAGAAAAGAGGGGCACCTGGGTGGCTCAGTTGGTTAAGCGACTGCCTTCGGCTCAGGTCATGATCCTGGAGTCCCTGGATCCAGTCCCGCATCGGGCTCCCTGCTTGGCAGGGAGTCTGCTTTGCCCTCTGACCCTATCCCCTCTCATGTGTTCTTTCTCTCTCATTCTCTCTCTCTCAAATAAATAAAATCTTAAAAAAAAAAAAAGAAAGAAAGAAAAAACACACAATTTGTAAAACAGTGTTGTATTAAAGGCTCCTAGAAACTTTCAAAATTAAACAATCTATATGTAAATAGTTCTTAATTTTTAAGCTTTTAAAATATTTACATCAATAAAATACATACATCAACCAGAACATTAATGTTCAACTCAATAAATATCCACCTGTCACCAAAAAGTCATAGAACTATTATAAACACTTTTATTGGTGACACTCTAGATGCAATTTTCTAAAAATCTGTGCTTGATTTGTACAATATCATTTGTTTTTCTATCAACATATAAAATATTAGGAAATATATTCCTTCAAACTTGGTACTGATGAACCAGCAAAGAGAACACTCCAGCATAAATCAACATCAATAGCTGAAATGGCTAAACAGTTGGTAAGCACAATCCCTCTTTCTAGATCTGTCACCCTGACCCTAAATAATTCCCTTGTCATTTGTATCCCATGAATGTTTTGTGTCATTATCCATCACTCTGCAGTTTGCAGAGAGATTTACTTATGTTAGATCTAATTCGATCCTACCTACCACCACACTTTCACCCATCAAGTTATGTTAGTATGGAAATAACAACATAAAATGCTGAATTACAGAATACCTACAAAGGTAATGCTATTGAATAGGGTAGACACATTACCATACATTATCTAGAGGAGGAGTCAGGAGTCCTAAGCTCCAGTCTAACCTGCACCATGAAACGGATGTGACTCTGGACCACCAAATTAGCTAATAGGTCTGACAGCGTAAGTTGTATTACTCTACACAAAAATGGAGGCACTACCTCTTCCATTTCATGTTCACAAAAACCCTGTGAAGCAGCACTGCAGGTCATACTATTTTCCACGTGAGGAACTGAGGCTCACAGAAGGCTCCTGAGCACACAACCTCTTCACAATATCCAAATCTACGTTGCAGCACGCAAAGTTTCAATGCTGTATTTTTCTCTGAACTCCCAAATAAGTCCCATAAAAAGTAATAAAACTCCACCTATTTGCTGCTTCTACAGACAGACTTTCTAGGATATAATGGTTTAAGGCTGAGTGAGAAAGAGAAAACGGAAAGGATCTAGACAATCCAAAAATCAGTTAAGAAATTGCAATCATGGGGTTCCTGGGTGGCTCAGTCGGGTGAGCGTCTGCCTTCGGCTCAGGTCATGATCTCAGTCAGGGTCCTGGGATGGAGCCCTGCATGTGGCTTCCTGCTCAGCGGGGAGTCTGCTTCTCCCTCTCTCTCTGCCCCTCGTTCTCTCTCTTGTAAATAAATAAAATCTTAAAAAAAAAAAAAAAAGGAACTGGGATCATCAGGGGCCATTAACATCTCACCCACTACCAGATGGCTTTCTTGCCTCAGACAGTGTATTTTTTATTATTAAAAGCATCACAATATTCAAGGAAAAAGAACTTGGCAGATACTTCCCAATTACTTATCTAATGTCCTCTCCCTCCTTCCTAACCAACATAACCTCTCGTTTATTCCAGGTGGCACTATGCCCAGCTTTAAAGAAATACATTTTCTGGACTTCCTTTCAGCTAATGGTAACTGGGTGTTGTGTTCTGAAATAAAAGTAAAAGTCCCTAGAGATTTCCAGAAAAACTCATTGAATGGAGAGAGAATCATCTGGCAGGAGGCTTTTTCTAGGACCTTCCCTTTCTTCTTGCCTAGAAGGCAGAGATGACATTGGCGGTGGAGCACCCATTTTAAAATCATGAAGAAACAATGACTAAACCAACACATTAAGAAAACAGCAGAGCAGAAAGAAGGTTTTTAAGACCCTGACAGATCACCTTCTTCAGGGGTTTTTACATAAAAAAGATTAAGGCCCTGTTTGTTTAAGGAACACTAAGTGGGGTGTTTGTTTATAAGCAGCTGAATGCAATCCTTAAATGATACCCATGATTCTACCAACTTAAGTCTTTATTTATCACATTACATTGTTTTTTGCACATGTGCATATATGTTTGTTGGATAGTTGTGATAGCAGAAACTTCCATATTTTGATTACCCTATGTAATAGTAAGGATTAAATGATATATGACTGGCATTTAATTGAGGCTTAACATTCATTCCCTTTACAATTTTTTTCGTTTGAATTTGTATCAAAATTTTCCTTGTGTATTATAATCATCATTTTTTTATTTAATAGCATCTTAATAGCCCATGCTATTGATGTAATTTATTTGCTATCCCAAATATGATACACTGAGATTATATCCTGGAATATGGCTATTACTGCAAGGAATATCTTCATGCTCTGCTGTATTTTATTTTTTTTATTTTTTAGATTTATTTTAGAGAGAGAGCACATGCGAGCTGGCGGAGGGGGAGAGGGGGAGAGGGGGATAGAGAATCCTCAAGTAGACTCCACACTGAGCTTGGAGCCCGATGCAGGGCTCAATCACACGACCCTGAGATCATGATGTGAACCAAAATCAAGAGGCAGCCGCTTAACTGACTGAGCCACCCAGGCACCCCACTCTGTTGTATTTTAGAATTCCCCTTTAAATATACACTGAAGATTACAATTAAAAATCCAAAAAGCAAATCAACACTGAAACCTTCCTCCTCTCCATTTTCTACTTTCCTGTATCCCAAATTGTAATAGGTGTGATAATAAGAAGCACTGAGCTTCTACAACCCTTAAATTTCTCAAGTGACAGAGGTGATAGGATCATCTTTTGTTATTTATAACAAGCCCTTTTCAACCATACCTGAGTTTATTATGCTAGTAAGGGGACTTTTGGTGAGGCCCTAGACAGCTTCAGGACGGGGTCTGGTTGCCACAACAACAACCATATGATTAGTTAGAACTTTCAGTCTCACCCTCCTCTGAGAGGAGGAGAGGGGCTAGAGATGGAGTTCAATCACTGATGGCCAATGATGTAACCAGTCATGCTCACATAATGGAACTTCCAGACTGGCACATACATCAAGGTATTGATGTCCTGGCGGAGGGGAGGGGGGACGCACCCAGGAAATGCATGGAAGCTTTGTGCATCCTCCATACCTTGCCCTATGCATCTCTTCTATTTGGCTATTTCTCAGTTGTATCTTTTATAATAAACCAGTCAGCATAAGTAAAGCACTTTCCTAATTTCTGTGAGCCATCCTAGCAAATCAAAGGTTTTGATCATCAAACCTGAGAAAGGGATCATGGGAACTCCCAATTTGTAGCTGGTTGGTCAGAAGCACAGCTAGCAACACGGAACTTGTGACGGGCATCTGAAGTCAGGGCAGTCTTGTGGGACTAAGTCCTTAGACGTGCAATCAGCACTAACTCTGAGTAGCTAGTGTCAGAAGTGAATTGAATTTTAAGACAGCAGTTAGTGTCCAGAGAATCAGTAGTTGGGCAGAGGGGAAAACTCACATATTTGGTGTCAGAAGTGTTGTGAGCAAAAACAGTTCATAAGAGGCATTAAGAAGAAGAAGAAGAAGAAAATCCCACATAGGTATTTTTACTATGGTATATGTATGCTACTATTATTCAATTTTTAGAAACCTAAAATAGAATGGAAACCAAGTTTTAACATTAGTATGGATGATTAGTTTCCCCACTTAAAAAAATGAAAACCAAAAATTTCCCAAACAGCTGGCTTTCACATACAACTAAGGGGGGAAAGAAAACACTGTCTAGAATATGCAAAATTTTAGTTTTGATAGTGTAACAAAAGGATTATTCTGTTGGAAGAAACTGACTTTTTCAAAGCATATTATATTTCTTTAGGAAGTTTACACATATTTTCTTCAGATTATTTCATACCTAGAGAGAGATTAAACTTGCAAAAGCTTAGGGGTACCTGGCTGGCTCAGTTGGGGGAGCATGTGACTCTTGATCTCAGGATTGTGAGTTCAAGCCCCACGTTGGTTGTGGAGATTACTTAAAAATAAAATCTTTAAAGTACAATAAAACAACCAAAAAAAAAAAAAAACCCATCTTGCAAAAGCTTATCTAGATAGTGTGATTTATTTTGGAAATACTATCACAAGAGATGAGCAACTATACAAACTAATGTGGTCACTTTACACTGATGAATGCATATACCTTTTAACCCAAATTAAAAATTAACTGAGAAAGTAAAATATTTTTACTGCATATATTAAGATCTAAATTTACACAAACATATTTAAAACTTTAACAAGGGTTTTCTGACCTCAAATTTTATAATTTGCACTGATTAAATATGGTCAGTAGCTCAATCAGTTAGAATCTCATGTTAAAATAAATGAAATGTACTCCTTACACTTTGACCCAGAGTTTTATAACCAATTTTCCCCAGAGGAATTAACCATCCAATAGAAACAGTGCTTTTTACTTTTGACCTTTATAACAAATGGACAAAGTTAACACTTTTACAGAACTGGGGGGGAAAGGTGGACCACCCCATTAATGAACAAGTGGATATTAATGTAAGATTTGATGATATACAACCTCTAGGCAAATCAAATTTTCAGCATCATACAAAAATGAGATGAATCAGACCTTTTCTTTCCAACGTACCTTCTTTCATATAAAATTTCTACCTACTAAGTACTAAGCCAAAATGTGTGTCAAGTAAACTCCGCACTCTAAAATGATGCAAGCAGGACGAGTTTTGGTTGTAACTAAACTATCTTGAGATTGTTTTCCTCTTTAAATACAGATTCTATATGGTAATTTTGCATGACACACCACAGGAAACAGGACAATAGGCACTAGTGTTTTTCACACTAGTAGGGCTACTTACACA